GGTTGAGGGTATGGGTGGGAAACTTCACTGAACAAAAACTAGGGTACGCCCTTTATAAAAAATCAGGGAAAAAATCAGAAGAATCATTTAAAAAATTATTTCAAAACTTAGAAAAAAAATCAGAAAAACATCAGAAAGATAAAAGGATAATCGCAGGGAAATAAATCAGAGAAAAGAAGGAAATTTGTGTATGCTTGAATTTATAGTGAAGTACCCCTCGCCTCGGGGGAGGTAGGGGAGGGTCACGGTAAGTTGCCTAAATGCACATACAAGGATCTTGAGACAAATTCTTTACCCATTAGGTGGCTCACGATAGAGACGGAATAATTGGAAGCGACCCCCCCCCCCTCAAATCTCTTACGTTCTAGGAGCAGGGAACCATTGCCTACCTACTAGGCGGACCCTCATTCGTTAGTTCTGTTTTATATTTTTTACGCGTTCTGTTATTTTAATGCACTTTCGCTCAGCTACCCCGTGCATAATGTTAACGCACGGGGCCCTACGTATGTACATTGCATTCTTCGATACATTCCCACTGTCCAACCCCAGCTGTGTGTCCCCGCGGCCGCGGATGCTCCGCGGAGCGCCTGCGGAGCGCGGGGTAGGCAGGCCTGCCGTACAGCACTGCGGGCGGGCGGCCCAACTCCCGGGCGGCCCGCTGTGCCGGCTGTGCCAGCGCCAACATCACAGTCTCGCGCGTTTTGTTGCAGATCTATTCCCTGCTCTGCGTGGTGTCGCAGTACCAGGAGTACCGAGCCGGCCGCGGCACGGCGCACCAGCACAGGGTAAGCCTACTCTTCAAACATACTATTTGAAGATTTTGTTTTGTGTTTTACGAGACAGCATATGTTCCGTAGTACCGGGCGTGTGCAGGCCAGTACGTTGGGTTGCCTATGCACTGGCTGCAGGGGCTGCAGGCGCGGGCGGGCGGCGGGGGAGTGGTGGGGAAAGCTGCCTCGCTCTCCCCCTTGCGAAATCTGTGTGTGACTGCTCTCGCTCTCCTGAGAGCAAGATAGCTGACTCTAGCATTTTCAGTGTGTTTTCCAAATTTCACTCCAGTTTTTCTTTGCAGAAGGAAAGCTTTTATGCAAGCAGCATATCGCCCATATTACTATATTTTTAATGAAGTACTGTTTTCTAAACAAAAGTCAGTGTGTTCCATGAAAGTATTACAACTAGAGTTACCTCATTCAATAAAGTCACTAACGCAATATGAATTTAGCTATGAACCATATGGCCATCAGTTTCCACAGTGCGGCAATGCAATGGAGTGCGAATCGGACGACACCGCCCATCTTCGTTCTGCTTCGCTTGCGCCTCAGGGAAAAAATCATTCGTCTCTCTCTCTCTCTCTCTCTCTCTCTCTCTCCCCCCCCTTTCCCCCTACTATTGTCCGTGTGTCTTTCCCTCCAGCACATCGCACTGCGCTGTCTCCCCTTTTCTTTCCCATTTTATTTCAAGCCCCGCCCTCCCCTCGCCGACCCCCTCCCCCTCTTTAGACAAGAACAATGGATGGGGTTGGTCTCGAGCCGCCATCGGGGAAATTAAACGAATAAAATGAGGGAAATGGACGATTATTTGCTTGCGTTGCTTTCAGGTCGTCTCATCTCTCTTTCTCTCTTTTTTTTTCCACCTCTCGTAGGGAATCTGCCGGAGCTTTTCCTTTCCCGCTTTGATTTACCTGCGCTCTCCCTCGGCAGCGCCAGCTCCGCTACCAGCTCCGCTACCAGCCCGGGCTCGCCCCCTATACCACAAAGTACTTTGCGGCTTCCGCTACTCCCGGCCCTGCCGGCCCTGCCCCTATTCATCGCGGCGGGAGATATTACGCGGGGCGGGGAACCTGTTCGCCCCCAAACCCCCTCATTGTATGGAGCAGAACTATGGCGGCGGCCTGCTCTAGGTCGTCCTAGAGGTCTAGATGTCGTGGGCGGCGTGGCGCAGTGGCGCGCGGCGGGGCGGCCGTGCAGGGCAGGGGAGAAGCGCCGCGCCCACCCCTTTCATGTCAGAGCCAAACCGAACCATCCGCCGGCCGGCCCGCTCCCATTATGTTATGCGGGGTTGTTGTTTCGGCCAGTAGCCCCGGACCCCCTTCCCTCCCCTTCCCTCCCTCTCCCTTCCCCTCACTCAATACGTACACGAGTGATATGCCCCACCCTGAACATGCTTCAGGTTTGTAGTGTACACCACGACATCACCAGGCCTTTAAGGCGGGTTCACGATCACATTTCCTAAGCTAAACGTGTTTTCTTAAGCGAAAACGCTTTTTGTTTCCATTACCCACCGGTCTTATGGGTGCGTTCACGATGCCTAAGCTAAGCGGAATTCCTTCAGCGAAACGAAATGCTTAGACCAGGGGTCTCAAACTCGAGCTATCCGCCGAGCCTCGTCTGCATAGGCCACACGCATTACAAGCTCTTCGGCAAGAAGAGTGAGAGAGATAGATGTAGTGGTGCCTCAACGACTGACCCGTGCCCGGCCGCAACTGCTGTCGCCGCCGGCTTGCTTTGCTCGGCGCTCGGTCGCCGGCCAGTGTGTCTGTCTCTGTCACTCCCAATGGCGCCTCAATGAGTGAGACAAAGACAGACACACACACTGGGCTAGCGAGCGAGCGGCGTGTGTCGAGCGACAGACGACGGCGGCTGGGTCCAGCTCAGCTTCGAGCAACCCGAGCGCGGCTCTCGGGGGCTCGGATCCACCCGAACGCAAGAGGTGCGCGGCTCTCGGCGAGCCGCGCTACTGGGCTGGGCGAGCCGCGCTTGGCTCGCGAGCCGCGAGTTTGAGACCCCTGGCTTAGACGGATTTCCCGTCCTGATGGAAAAAAGCGCTTAGGGGTGCCCTACGCTGAACGTTTTCGTGCAGATCCGTGGCGGCGACCAATCAGGGAGTAAAACGGTCCGCGCGATTCCGTTTAGCGTACGGAGCATCGTGAATGCTCTTCGCATATGACAAAACACGCTTAGCTTAAGAAAACACGTTTAGCGTACGGGCGGGAGGGTATGATCTTGAACCCGCCTTTAGCCCCCCTTCCGGCTGTCGAGACAGAGTGTCTATCTGTGCGTATGATGCTGAGCTCTTTTCTTCCCCCTTCCACCTTTCCCTCTTTTCCTCGTTCTCCCCCACCTCGCCGGCCGCCGCTAGCGCGTCTTGTGCATGCACTTGTGCTGCTCGGCGAGTGAGGTAAAGCGGATATTTCCGGGGGTTTTGTGTTATTATTATTTGTGGGTCCCTCCTCTGACAAGCCGTGCCCCCCCCCCCCTCTTTCTACCTCACCCCTCCCTTCTACCTAACCGCACGCCACGCCCCTCTCTCTCGCAAGGCTTCAGTTTGCGGAACCAACTCCAAATAAGCTCGTCGGGGTTTGGCATAGGCCTGGCGCGGCAGCAGCACGTCACCTCACGGGCGTGGCGTGGCGGGGTGGTGGTGTAACCAACTAGGGTGAACCTGACGGAACTGACAGCCTGAGCCGCAAGGCAGGCAGCCACACCTTGGAGCGTGCACGTGCAGCGCGCCCGCCCGCCCGCCGGCCGGCCGGGCCTCTCGCCTCGCACCCGCGTTTGTTGAGTGGCCTACCCTGTAGGCTGCGGTGCGCGACAGTGTGCCGCCCGCCACCTGCCAGCGCTGCGTGCGACGAGTGGGGTAGATTGTCGGGGAAATCAGGAAATTTGCAGGAATTTGGGTCACGCGGTCGCGGGGAAGAATATGCCATTTCACTGGTGAAACGTGCAAAATTCGTGGGTCTACGCCCATTTCACTTGTCACCAGTGATTTGTGCCGTTCTTGCTATTTTTTTTAACGTGGCACTCGCAACACTTTAAGGCATTTGTAATACAAACAATTTTTTTGTATTACGAAGAGCCTAGGCTTGTATTACCAACCGACTCTTCGTATTACGAACCGGGGCTTTTCGTAATACAGAAAAATCGTTTGTAATATGGCTGCTTCGGATCCTTTGTACTTACAAACTCATTTCTTCGCAATACGGACGCTGCTGTTTGTAAGGAACTAAAAGTGAAATGTGTTTCTTTGAAGGTCAGGGGAAATGTTTATATATTTGACTGGTTGCTGTCGAGAATGCCGCTCGAGTGCTCGAGCAGGAACTCAGATGGATTTTGGTGCGAACCCTTTGCAAAGAGGACTTTGGAGAGGTGGTGTGTGAGAACTGTGAGGCAATAAGGGGCGGGGGAGGGGGGGGGGTGGGCGCGAGTAGAGATGCGAAGGGGTTGAGGGGCCGCGCTCGCCAGCCCGTGGCAATCAACTGGACCCGCACTCCCCGCAATGCCGAGGTCCGCCTCATTTAAATAACAAACCCGAGGTTGCCCGAGCGCGCGCGCGCGCTGCCCCGGCGAGCGGATCTGAAGGTAAGGCGGACTTGGGCAGTGTCAAGTTTCGGTCGAGTTGCGCGTGGTTTGCAGAGACCGCCCCGCCACCCCACCCCGCCTGGTCTCGCGGGGCGCGTGGCTGGGTGCGCGAGCCACAGCCGCGCCGCACCACATGTGCGCTGCCCCCCGCTGCCGGGCCTGAGTAGAGGAAATTAGTTTAGACGGTTTATCCAACCTCGCGGACTTTCCGCTTGCTGCCGGGCGGGATGTTCCTCTGCTTCTGCGACGCCGCGGCGCTTCCGGCGAAGAATGTCGGTAGAGTGCACGGTGGAGAGAGAGAGAGAGAGAGAGAGAGGGGGGGGGGGGGAGAGAGAGATAGGATCGTTCGTTCGTTCTAGGAAAGGCCCGGTGTGGGGGTGGGGCGAGAACAGGACGCAACTAAACGCAACCGTTTTCGGCGCGCATGGTAATGAAATTGGGATGAAATTGATTCTGGTTGATGTGTGAGAGTACTCTGTGCGGGGCAGCGGGTGCCGCGGGGAAGGGGGGGGGCTGCTCTCGTTAAGCCCAAGTTCAGCCTGACCTCAGCCGTAACGATTCACTGCTTTATTTATGTCTCTTGGTCCGACTCCGTCCCGTCTTTCCGACCCTCGCCTCTCTGTTTTCACCATCGCGTAACGCTTTTCTCTGCCCTTCTTTTTTTTCTCACTGTGCTCCGTGGCAGCAGAAGTTTGGGTCCATCAAAGCAGAAAGTGGAGTTGGTGGCAGTTTTATACCAACACGTATCACATCACCTGCGCTCTCCTCCAAGTCCGCCGCCGCCGCAGCCGCCACCCTGGTCCGGCCGACTGTGCGCAGCCGTCTGCTTGGCGCCAGGGCAGGGCTAGAGAGACTGGAGGGGAGAGAGATGACAACCGGGCCGCCGGGCGCAGTGGCGCGGCGTGGCTGTGTCCCCAGTGCCAATAATGCACGGCTGCCATATTGCCCTACGCACCGAGGCAGCCCTTCGGGTCGCCCTCGGGCCGCGCTCGGCGGCGGGCGGCGGCGGGCCCGCACCCGAATCCGGGGGGCCCGGCGGCGGCGCAGGCACTGCGTGCACTTAGCGGCCACTATGTGCACGCGGCAGTGCGGATATTTTCACTGGGGACGTGGCCAATCACAGCGCAGCGCCCGGCGGCCGAGTTGACGCCTCTCTGCTTGCTTACAGTCTCTCTAGGCAGGGCTGCCGAGGACGAGGAGGGGCAGAGGGTCCCTTCGCTCCGCCACGCCCCGCCACGCCCCGCCACGCCCCGCACTGCGGAGGTAGAGGCATTAGCAAGGTTGTCGGGAGTGTTACTGCCCCCCGGGTCTTAACTTTGCCGCCCCCCCCTCTCCCTCCCCATCCTCTAACTCCTATCTCTCCCGCTCACAGGGGCACTATAGCCCCACAGCTTAATGGAAGTGACGGTCTCAATCAAACCGCTGGAGATTTACAACGCCTATCCCCCCATCCCTTTTCTCACTCTCGCTCTCGCCCGCCCTCCCGCCCTGCCGTTGTTTGTCCTCTTCCCCCCCGCTGGCCGCGGTCTCCTCTCCCCGCTCCCCCCGGGTCAGTAATTGCGAGAGCCAACGAGATAAATAAAGAGCTGTGAACGGCGCGATAATGGAGGTGGGGG